GGTTGCTTTTATCCCTCAACTCCGCAAGCTACAGAATTCCTCCTCACAGAAAGCAGTCCATGTTCCTCATTCCATCACCACATGAAGCATCAGTGTAACTCACCATGATTATCCGAAACACAGCTTAGAAGTCTGGATCTGCAAAAGAGAAGGGAGAGCATTAGGCTCTGGGGCAAACAGCACCCCTCTCACCAACCACCACAAACCCACCCCTTGGGCTGGAAACAAAAGCCCTTGCTTGGCTGTCCGCTTGCTGCAGCAGGATTGGTCACTATGATCATTCCCCACCACTCTTTCTTTACGTTCACCAAATATAAAGCAAAAGAGAAAATCACTGCATGACCCATCTCTTTCTAAGCAAGTTCACCTAGAAGGAGATCAGAGCTCTCCACTAAGATTCCTCAGACCAAATGCCAACAGAAAATACTAAAACAAGTCTTTCTCATTTGCTGCTAACATACTTTTTTGGTACCTGTACACAGCCTTTCCAACAGCTCAGCTTAAACCAAGTTAATTTTCCATCTAGAGCACAAAACCTTCAAAATCCACCCCGTTATAGCACCCTGCTTCCTGAGACACTGTGGACATAAAACAACGAGCTTTGGCTTCTGCATATGAACAGCGGTAAGGCTTGAAGCGGAAGGCACACAATACCCCATCGGAAGGTCTGCGGCTCCCTGAAGGCAGAATGGGTCACTCTGCAATCGTAGACATCACCCTTCTGGGGGGTGAAGGGCACGTACACCAGGCGCTGGAAATACCATTTGTCATTGAAGGACATGTCTGAGTACTTCACACCGCTCATGGGCTTCCCATTCTTCAGGAGAGTGATGTCAATCTTTGGAGGGTGGAAACCACTCACGAAGCAGTTGAGGACATTCTCCTCTCCGTTTGTGACATGTCTGCGGGAGTACACCTCCACCTTTGGTGCCTCTGGAGAGGGGGGAAAAGGGGTGGTGAGAACCAGGGTGGCAAGAAGCATCCACCCAGTCGGGCAAGGTAACCGGTACCAGGACCCTCAGAGCACCTGCTCCCCCGACCCGTACCAGGCCCCTCACTGATGACCCCACCCCGGATAACCGGTACCAGGCTCCTCACCCCACC